CTCTGTGTAGTTAATGCTGCTCAATGTGAAAGCACGCACGTGATGGAGATTTACCGCTGATTACAGAACCGGCTTTCTGACAAGATGCGCGTTAAATATCGCATGCGATTTATCGTGCAGCCCTAATGTTTGTTTGTCTGATGTTTGTTTGTGTGATGTTTGTTTGTCTGATGTCTGTCTGATGTTTGTTTGTCTGATGTGTGTCTGATGTTTGTTTGTCTGATGTTTGTTTGTCTGATGTGTTGCAGGTCTGCGGGTCTCTGTCTCGCTCGCGCGCTGCGGTCAGGCGCTTGTGTTCGCGCGCCGCAGCAGAAGCTCATCATGACGTGATCAGACCTGCGTTTCCGCCGCTGCAGAGTTTCTCAGAGGAGGAGAGCATGATGAGAGACGCAGGTGAGACGCTGTTCACGAGACACACGTGAGTCCAGAAACACTCAGACCGCAGTAACGCTCTTCTTCTCTTCACCAGTCAAGAAGTTCGCACAGGAGCGCATCGCCCCGTTTGTCTCCAAGATGGACGAGGATTCGGTGATGGATGCAGACGTGATCAGCGCTCTGTTCGAGCAGGGCGTGAGTATCTCAGCACAACACTGATCACAGACACACCTGCTTCTTCTAATGGTTTCCTGTAATCGTTTCTGTGTGTGTGTGTGTGTGTGTGTGTGTGTGTGTCTATGTGTGTGTGTGTGTGTGTGTGTGTCAGCTGATGGGGATCGAGATCGGAGCGGAGTACGGAGGCACGGGCTCCTCCTTCTTCTCCTCCATCCTGGTGATTGAGGAGCTGGCGAAGGTGGACCCGTCGGTGTCGGTGCTGTGCGACATTCAGAACACACTCATAAACACGCTGCTGATGAACCTGGGGACGGAGGAGCAGAAGCAGCTCTATCTGCCGCGGCTGGCCAGCGATACGGTGAGACGCTCGCTCTGACAATCCGCTGATGCTCTGAAGTGTTTCTGTGACTGACGACGCTCGTTCTGTTCTTCAGGTCGGCAGCTTCTGTCTGTCGGAGTCAGAGTCGGGCAGCGACGCGTTCTCTCTCAAGACTAAAGCAGAGAAACACAAGGATTATTACAGCATCAACGGCTCTAAGATGTGGATCAGTAACGCAGAACATGCCGGAGTGTTTCTGGTGATGGCAAACGCAGAGCCGGCCGCGGTTAGTATGTGTGGAGTCATTTCTGACACTGAATTAGGGTTCGTTCACACTATGAATGATAACTATACTGATAACTGTAACGGTAACTATATTGGTGTCTATATCAACGCACAGTAATGTTCTGCTCATTATAAGTGTGCCGCAGTTTTGTCGCCTGTCACTTTAAAAGCTGGAGCTCTTTAAAGCAGGATGGATTCTGATTGGCTGTCAGTGTTTTTATTGTTCATCAGCTGTTTCAGTCTTATGTCTGTTTTCTTAAGTGTATCTTTATGATGTCAAATCTTACATTGATAGAATGTTCAGTAATCACGCTGATGGCGATGAGTGACATTTGCATGCTAAACTGGGATCGTTCTTTTATTCAGTCTCGTCAGTCTGTCTTCACACTCACACACACACACACACACAAACAACACACACACAAACAACACACGCAAACACACACACACACACGCAAACACACACACAACACACATGCAAACACACACACAAACAACACACACGCAAACACACACACTCACACACACACACACACACAAACAAACACACACTCACACGCGCAAACACACACACACTCACACGCGCAAACAAACACATGCACGCACGCACGCACACACTAACAAACACACAAACACTCTCACACTCACACACACACACTCTCTCACACACACACACACTCTCACACACACACACACACCCACAACAACTCACACTCACACTCACACACACTCACACACACACACACTCACACACACACACACACACACACACACACACACACACACACACACACACACACACTCACACACACACACACACACACGTGTCACATGACCACAGTAAAGCGTCACACAGAAGCAGAGACACGATTCTGCACAAACACACATTCACTGCAGCTCATATATGGAGATTGATGGATGTCATGTGACGTGTGTGTGGCAGGGTTACAGGGGCATCACCTGCTTCATCGTGGACAGAGACACAGACGGGCTTCACATCGGCAGGAAGGAGAATAAGCTGGGTCTGAGAGCCTCATCCACGTGTCCTCTGACCTTCGACAGCATGAAGGTGAACCTGCGCTCCGATCCGATTCATTCCTCCACATCTTACTGTGATGTAGTTTCTAAATGGAACGAGTCATTTCTTTCAGTTCAAGGGAAGTTCTGGATGTTGCAGGATGGTTTTGTGATGCTATTAAATCTGAGAAGATGAATGAAATGTTTGTCTGATGCAGGTTCACGAGAAGAACATTTTAGGGAAAGTGGGTCACGGTTATAAATACGCCATCGGGATGCTGAACGGCGGCCGGATCGGGATCGCAGCGCAGGTGTGTTTCAGCTCACGCGCTTCACACAATACAGGAAAATAGCAGTGTTAGTTATTCATCAGTTATGTGACTAATTCAATTTCATCTGTAGAGCAAAAGACAATAGAGTCATTATTCAGATCAATTCCATTCATGTTTTGTTCTCATCTGATAATGTCAGTGCACTTAAATCCATAATATTGTGTGTCTGTGTGTGTGTGTGCGTGTATTTCAGATGCTGGGTTTGGCTCAAGGCTGTTTCGATCACACGGTTCCTTACACCCGACAGAGGATGCAGTTTGGCAAACGCATCTTTGATTTCCAGGTATTTCTGCTGTTCAGTGTGTGTGTTGTGTTCAGTCTCGTCGAGGTCACGAGTGTGTGTGTGTGTGTGTGTGTGTGTGTGAGCAGGGCATGCAGCACCAGATCGCTCATGTGGCCACGCAGCTGGAAGCGGCTCGACTGCTGACCTACAATGCTGCGCGTCTGAAGGAGGCTGGTCGGTCCTTCATTAAAGAGGCCTGCATGGCCAAGTACTTCAGCGCGGAGGTCAGTCCCTCGGTCTCAGCGCTCTCCTGCAAACCGTGCGAACTTCATTAATGCCACAGAGAATGAATAACAAAGATAAGTTACAATTCTGAGTTTATATCTCACAGTTTAGAAAAAATTGTCTGAATTGTGAGATAAAGAGCCACAAAAGTCACCTTTTTAATTTGTATTATTCCGTGGCAGAAACGATCTGCGATGCTGTTCTGAGATCAGTGTGTGTTTCAGGTGGCGGCTCTGACCGCGTCCAAGTGCATCGAGTGGATGGGCGGCGTGGGCTTCACCAAAGACTATCCCATCGAGAAGTACTACAGAGACTGTAAGATCGGTGAGTGAAGCACACGCGTGTGTCATGAAGAAACGCTGCTCTCATCAGAAATCATTTGTTTGATATTTACACACTGAACCGTTTCTGCAGGAACCATTTATGAGGGAACCACCAACATCCAGCTGAGCACCATGGCCAAGATGATCGACCAGGAATATGACGGATAAACATCAGTGTGTCACATATACCAGACGCATTAATCCAGCTGTCAATAACATAGAAGCTGTAATTAAACACTGATGTAATTTCTCAGCACGAGCATCTTCAGGAATCTCCTCGAGAGTTCATGTCTGTCTGTAACTCAACTTTATTTCACTCTTAATGGATCATTTCTTGTTTCTCTACGTATTTATTTTCTAAGACTGAAATTATATCAGCATATATGAGTTAAAGTCTTTCCTGACTAGTGTTTTTTCTGAAGTCTTTTCAGTGTTAATAGACTTGGTTGATGTTCCTGTTACAGTTATTGATTGATCCTGTGTCTTACTGATCGCTGACGGCTGAGATCTGTGTTTGTGTTTGTGTCTCTGAACCTGATGAATAAACATCGTGAACTCGTGTGTGCTGTCGGGTTTGAGCAGCCATCCGCTCTGCTGTGAGTTTACTGTAGTTTACTGTAAGTCTGTGATCATCATCAGACGCTCAGTGAGTTTCACTCATTACAGCTAATGAAGGAATCCACACAGACCCCATCAACTAGTGAAATTATACAAATAATTAGGCAGAAAGATTTACTGACAAAACATTTCTAGTAACGAATAGTAAAAATATTGTTTTTGTCATACTTTAATGTTTATTTCTTTTCTCATGTTTGGTCTGAATGAGCAGCTTGTGGGTTACTTTAACTCTTGACTCGCGGTGCACTGCGGGAGTTTCACTCGTGTTCCTGTTGAAGCTCTGCAGAAACACAAATCCTTCCGCGAGTGTGTCAGTGCGCATGCGCAGTCTGGCCGCCAGGTGGCGCCGCTCACTCACGCTGCAATGAATAAGGAAATAATATGAACGCGTTCATAAAAACATACACCTCTTACATGAATAGATATGTTTTGTAGATAAAATATTACAAATAACAAGTCATATATTTATAAAACAGGGCCTAGTCTAGTCATATGGGTTAGGGTTAAGGGTTAATCTCAGCTCTGAATTTCAGTCACTACGTTTCCGTTTGTTTTAAACATTTAGATTTAAAAAAAAATGAAAAAGGGAGAAAGTAAGAAACAGAAAAATATACATATATTTATTGAATTTTGCCCCCGCAGTAAAGGAGGCTGAGAAACTGAAGCCAGATTGGAGCTGAAATATTGAACTGTTCTGAAAACAATAACAATCAATAACGTGTCGTCATTTTCTTATTGATGCAGTTTATCAATTTGCAATACATGTCGTCACCATTTAGAGTTTTAATAGCCTATTATCAGCAACATTATTATTATTATTATTATATTTTTGGGGATGAACTAAGTATTAAGTCCCAAGTAATAAGAAATGAAAAAGATTTAGCTTTTTTAAATTGTGTCAGCGAGAGATCCACACACACACACACACACACACACTCTCTCTCTCTCACACACACACACACACACACTCACTCACTCTCTCTGTTTAGCTTTTGATCTTCATTATTTTCTCTGCAGCTCGCGGCAGAATCGCGTCAGTTCTTATGGATCCGCGCTGCGCTTCTCACTTCAGACTGGAGTAACTTTCTTCTTCTTCATCGTCATCTTCATCTTCAGTGCTGAGTCTCACCGATGGAGGAAAAAACACAAGAAGTGAAAGATTCTCCGTTTTCCATCAAGAACCTGCTTCGGAAAGCCGATGAGCCCCGAGCTCGCGTGACTCTCCTGCGCTGCGCGAGCGGACCGAACACCGTCGCAGGTGAGGATCGAACCCGAGCCCCAGAGTCTTCATCATGTGTTCACAGAGCTACAGGACATGAGAAGAGATCAGACTCAGATTAATATAACTGAAGAGTTTATTCTGGTTATTGTGAAAACATTTAAATATGCGCGAAACTCGTCAAATGTATTTTATTTTCCCATATCTCTCTTTTCCGTATTAAATTTTTTTATTTTCTATGGTTTATTTATATTCTATTTTAATGTTTTGTCTGTTTTTTTCTCTTTTCTATGGTTTATTTATGTTCTATTTCAATGTGTTTTGTCTGTTTCTTTTCCATTTTCCACTTTCATCTTTTCTCTCTTCTCTGTTTTGTTTGAACTCTATTCTGACGTGTGTTGTGTGTTTTGTTTGAACTCTATTTTGACGTGTGTTGTGTGTGTTGTTTGAACTCTATTTTGACGTGTTTTGTTTGAACTCTATTCTGACGTGTGTTGTGTGTCGAGCAGCAGATGGAGGCAGAGGCGCGGCAGAGGCGCAGGATCCGGACCCTAAAGACTCGGACTCGGAGCTGCTCCTGGACTCGGACTCGGATGAGCAGAAGACGGAGGAGAGCTCTCAGAAGAAGCTCTGCCGCAAGAAGAAGACCAGGACCGTGTTCTCCCGCGCTCAGGTGTTCCAGCTGGAGTCCACCTTCGAGCTGAAGCGCTACCTGAGCAGCTCGGAGCGCGCGCAGAGGACCGTGCGCGTGCCCGTCCTCTACCACGAGCACGCGGAGAGAGAGCGCGCCCCCGCGGCCCTGGCCTTCGCGCACGCGCTGTATTACCCGCACGCGCTGAGACTGACCTGAACTAACTAACTAACTAACCCATCAGAGCGTTAACCACCTGACCCTGCATCAGATCCAGGAGTTAACTCTCTCTCACAGACTGACCAACCCTGAACTCCGTGTCTGTAAAAACAGAAAGCTATTATTTTTATTATAAAAAGTCTTGCTTTGTTGAGGAGCGCTTGGTTCAACAAATCACAGGTGCAGCTGTGTTTATTATTATTATTATTATTATTATTATTATTATTATTATTATTGTTATTATTATGAGCCTGAAACAGGCGGATTTTCTCTCTTTTCCCTAAAGATGTGTGTAAATGCTGCACCAAAATC